CTCCTAATGTTGAGGTGGAATCTCTTTTCCTATAGCTTGCATTCATTGTTCCATGTCCTATTCTCTGGAACAGCAGAAAACAAGCCTGCTCCCTCCTCAATATGACGTCCCTTCAAATACTTAAACAGGGCTATCATATCCTCTCTTAACCTTCTCTTCTCCAGGCTAAACATACCCAACTCCCTTTAAAGTCGTTCCTCATAGGGCATGGTTTCCAGACCCTTCACCATTTTGGTTACCCTCCTCTGGACATACTCCAGCTTGTCAACATCCTTTTTGAATTGTGGTGCCCAGAACTGGACACAAATATTAGTGTTCAGTCTAATATTTAGGGAGTGGCATTTCATGGTCAATGATTGTCTCTCTTTCAGAGTCTGATGGATGTCAAGAATAAGCATAATTTGCAGGATATGAAAATTACATAACTAATCGGATACTGCACTACATTCTCAAGAGAGAGAAATTGGTATCCCATGTCTGTATGGAATAATTAGTACTCAAAACTCACTACTGTATGAAAAAAGAGGTAATGCAAAGTGTCAATGTGGTATTGTGCTTTGGATGTTGGGTTAGGACTCTGCAGGAACAAACTTGGATTCACTGCTCAGCCATGGAAACCCTTTGGGTGACTATGAAGAAGTCACTTTCTCAGTCTCAAAGAAAGGCCACAGCAAAGCCCCACTGAATAAATTTTGCCAGGCAAACTCCATGGAAGAGTCACCATTGTTTGCCTTCACATCATTTCTGACTTAGGTTGATTTAGGATTTTCTTGGTAGAATTTGTTCAGAGGAGGTTTGCCAGAGGCTGAGAGAGCGTGACTTGCCCAAGGTCACCCAGTGGGTTTCCATGGTCAAGCGAAGATTCAAACCTAGTTTCCCAGTGTCCTAGTCCCACACTCAAACTACACCACACTGGATCTCAAGATCACCTTAGGGTCATAACTCTACAATGACTTGAAAGCACACAATGACATTAAGGGAACCAAAAGCACTGCAAAACCTTATTAATTTCTGCTTAGTTAAAACAGGTTCTGGATAATGTCAAAAACCTTTTCTGAATCTTCCCAGGGAATAACATATTCAAGAGGTTGTTATACCCTAACGTCGTTGCTGGTGTGTGCCTGGTAAGTTGTTCCTGACTTACAATGACCCTAAAGCAAACCTTCACTGGAAATCCTTCCACTACTCCTAACACTGATTTATATGTCATTGAATCAATCTCCAATCCAAGCTGTTTTAAAATGTAATAAAGATAGGAAAAGGTGAGATCCCTGCAGCCTCATTCCTAGAAGGCCAGTGGCTGAACACTGAAGGTTGGTATACTGAATATGCACCTGCTGAATACTGGTATAAAATGGTTTGGTGCTAAAGAGATTTCAGTATAAAACACTTAAGGCTGTTAGGGAGAGGATTTTTGTGAGAGGCTACTTTTAAAGAGAGACTAAGGTAGCAGAAACATGTGGACGTCTTTACAAGAAGAAAAGGATCATGTTTTCTGATGGTACTGTATGCAGCCAAAGGAAATATGCAGGTAGTATTCCATTTCTTAAAAAGTAGAGTTCCATCAGCTTGTAAAACATACCATCTGCCTTGAACTTCAGATGTTGCATGGTGTAAGGGGAATGCACTCTTCGGCCTCGTTCCCACAATGATTTAAAGCAAATTGCAGATCGGGTTATATGACCGTCTTTCCCACATGAAACCGGTTCCGATCCTATTGAGCTTGGTTGCAATCGTGATGAAGCAAGGCAAATGCAAAAACCCAACTGTTTCCTGACACTAGTTCTTTGGTGGTTCTTTTGAAAAGAATCAATTCTGAAGCATGTTCAACAAGTGGGAATGACAGAGGTGAATCAGATCATGCTGGAGGAGAGGGATTAATGGCAGAGGGGTGTTTACCATCCCGCCTCAGTTTTTGGGATATCCATCATCCCCTCCCCCCAACACTGCCTTTCTGCTAGTGTGACCTATATATACTGAATTACCAAATATGTGATCTGTTGTTTTTGCAACCTGGCGGCACACTAATGGAAACAACAATTATGCCAAAAAAAGAAGTGATTACAAGGGAATAATGAAATGATCCGCTTTCATAGTGGGAACAACAGACCTTTTGGAAGTGATTCACCGACACTAAGCGAAGGCGAATCACAACCCGATTTAAATGTACGTGGGAATGAGGCCTTCATATGTTCAGAGATGCATTTCAAATATTGTAAGATTCAGTGTTAGTATCAACAATTGGTGCCTGGGCCGCATCCTGATAAAATGGAGACCTGAGCAGGTTGCCACTTTCATCTGTGGATTTTAATATGTGCTTCCAGTACTAGTTTGTAATTTCAGTTACTTCATTAGTAATGTTTTTAGTTACTTACTTTTTAATGGCATTTTAAGGCATTTTGGCAGGAATTTTTCAAGTTTTATGCTATTCTCTTATCAATCCTAAAATGCCAGTTGTTGTGTTTTTTTAAGTAACCAAAAAACAAGCAACACAATGGTTGAGATCCAGGAGGCAGTATAAAGTTATGTCAGAAACTTATTCCAAATTATTAATAATGCCCTTCGCAAATAGTGGTCACAAAAATTCTTATGAACT